CACTCTTCCTGAGAGTTCAAGTCTCCACAGTCAGACCTGTGTTCTAGTACACTATCTCAGAGCTTTCATACTCAAGAAAACTCTCAGGGCCCCTGGGTGGCTCAGTAGGTTGAGCATCTGCCTTCTGCTCAGGTCATGGTCCCAGGATACTGGGATCAAGCCCTACCTCGGGGTCTCTGCTCAGTGGGGAGTCTGCTTCTCCCTCTGCCCCTCACCCCATTTGTGCTCTATTTCTCTCTCTCTCTCTCAAATAAATAAATATAATATTTAAAAATAAATAAAACTCACTGGTTGGCCTCTTTGCCACTGAGGCTATAATTTTCATTCCATGTAAATAAAGTAACAGATTTCTAGAAATCTGTTAGATTAATGGATTAATGGATTAATATGTTAGATTAGTGGCTTAATATGTTAGAAAGCATAGAAGGCTTTAAAAAAATGTCTCCCAGGGGCATCTGAGTGGCATAGTTGGTTAAGCATCTGACTCTTGCTTTCGACTCAGGTCATGATCTCAGGTTCCTGGGATCAAGTCCCACATCGGGCTCTGCACTGGGCATGGAGTCAGCTTGAGGATTCTCTCTCTTTCCTCCCTCTTCCTCTGCCCCTACCCCCCAGATGCTCACTCTCTCTCAAATAAATAAATCTTTTTAAAAAATGTCTCCCCAATAAACACTGAAATGAGCAGAAGGAAGCAAAATTAGTGAAGAAAACTGTTTACTCTGAAATTGTAAGAGGGCCCCCAGCCTGCATTAATTTGAATAAGGACACCAGAAGCCTTTCCCAGCTAAAAGAAAGCAAAACAAAAACAGTTAGCGGGTGTGGCAATGGTAAAAGATGCATTCCAAGATGATGGCAGTAACTAAGATGGAAAAGGCTGTTTCATCTCCATAGGAGTAACAAGCAAGAAGATAGAACACCTGTACTGGACACCTGTCAGGTTTTTCCGCACTGGCAGGCTTTCTAGAAGTAGTGTCCACAGCCACAGTAGCCAGCCACGGGAAGGAGCCATGGTAGTGCTCTACCCTGTCAGATCCTCCCTCCAAGCCTCCAGCTCTCCTCAATCTGCTGAGCTCCCTTCCTTCCAATAAATCCCCATTTTGCTAAAACCCACCCTAATTGGTTTCTGCTGTTGCTTCCAAGAACCTTAACCAATACAACAGGCATGACCCTTTTGCATTTAATGATTTTGAAATATATAAAACAGAAACTTCTACAAATCATAAGATAAAAGGATAAATCCACAAAAATTGCATGCACTTTAAGATACTGTTCTCAGAAATTGATAGGTCAAAGAGATACTTTAAAAAACTGAAACAAAAAGAGATTTAGAGCTTTGTGTTAATTCAAGCTAATTACAATTAAATAAGAGTTCACAATCAGTTCTTCAGTCTCACTAGCTACATTTTAAATTATTCAATACCATATGTGTCAATGGTTGCTGTATTGCACAGCGTGGATTATATGACATTTCCTTCATCACAGAAAGTTTAGCTAGACAGAGTTGTTGTAAAGAAAATGTGATAAATGGGTGCCTGGATGGCTCAGTGGGCTAAACCTCTGCCTTCTGCTCAGGTCATGATCCTGGAGTCCTGGCATCAAACCCCACATCGGGCTCTCTGCTCAGTGGGGAGCCTGCTTCCCCCTCCCCCTCTGCCTGCCTCTCTGCCTACTTGTGATATCTCTCTCTCTCTCTCTCTCTCTCTCTGTCTCTCTGCCAAATAAGTAAATTTTTTTTTAAATCTTAAAAAAGAAAGAAAGAAAATGTGATAAACACACGTGCATGCACCAGGGACTGTTGCTCAATCATTATAAGGAAAGAAATCCTGTCCATTTGCCACAAGGATGAACCTGGAAGACAATATGCTAAATGAAATAATCTGGACACACACAAAAAAACCCCAAATACTATACCATCTCATTTATATGTGGAATCTAAGATAGTCAATTTCACAGAGGTGGAGTGTGGAATGGTAATTGCCAGGGACTTCGGGTAGAGGGAATGGTGACCGTTGTCAAAGGCTAAAAACTTTCAGTTATAAGATGAGTAAGTTCTGGAAATGCATAGCATGATGACTATAGTTAACAACACTGTATCATATACTTGGAATTTGCTTTAGTGTTCTCACCACACACGCGCACACGCATACACACACACACAGGTAACTACGTGGGGTTATGGATCTGTTAATTAGCTTGATTCTGGTATTCATTTCACAATGTGTACCATAAACAGAGACAATTTTTGTCAATCAACTTCAGGAAAGCTGGAAAAAAGCGAATCTTTATTTTCATACCTAATTTTGTTTTTGTAATTTTGTAATATTTCCTTAAAGAAGACCACCAAATTTGTATAAGATTTACACCCCACTTATTGGTCTCATCAATAAGCTGTGAAAAATACAATGATACCATGATGACCTCCTTCATTCACTTAGTAGTTATGAGCAAGGGTCTTGAGGACCACACATCTGGATGCATTTTGTGGTTCTGCCACTTCTAATGTAGGCGCAGCATTCACTTGCTGTAAGTTTTTCCTAACCTATAAAACTGGAATAACAATAGTACCTGCTTGCAGGCTTACTGTGCGGATGATATAACATAATGCCTGAAATGCAGCCAGCACATTAGGCACAGTACACAGTATGCATAGAATGAATAGCAACTCTTACTATTTTATGGTGTTTGGGGAGTGAAAATTCTTTCAGAAAAAGCAGGTGAAAAAAGACATTTTCAAGGAAACAACATGCTACACCTCTAACATATATACTTGAGGCACAAGAAAAGTATCTTAGATGAACTCTAAGATGCAAGAAATAATGAAGAGCAATGAAGTGTAAATGTGTGGGTTAATTCTGAACGAGCATTTACTGTATAACACAATAATGATAATGTCTTGCAGAGCTGAAAGATATATAGAATTAAAATGCACATCAACAATAGCTAATACATCAGGCTGACAGTAAATATAATTAAACTATTATAAAGCCCTCCAAGAAGAGGGTCAAGTATTGATTATGTTTAGGTCTTGATAAGTTAATTATGCATGTTTTACTTTTTAGAATAACCACCAAAAAAATAGAAACAGGGATTATAACTTCTAAATCAGTAGAGAGAAGGAAATGGAATGATAAAAAATACTCGGCCAATCCAAAAGTTGGTATTAAAGGAGAAAAGAAAGAATAAGTAAGATAGGGACAATCCACAAATGAGGCAGTAGATTTAAACCAAAATATATGAGTAATTGCATTAAATGTAAAGAGACTAAATGCTCCAGTTAAAAGATGAAGATCATTAGAATGGTTCTTAAAAATCCTACTTTTCAGAATTTATAATATCAGTCAAGAGAACGCTGATGGAGCGGCACCTGGGTGGCTCTGTTGGTTGAGTGACTGCCTTCAGCTCAGGTCATGATCCCAGGGTCCTGGGATCGAGTCCTGCATTGGGCTCCCTGCTCTGCGGGTGAGCCTGCTTTTCCTTCTCCCTCTGCTTGCTGCTCTCCCTGCTTGTGCTCTCTCCCTCTCTGTCAAATAAATAAAATCTTAAAAAGAAAAAAAGAATGCTGATGGAACTTTTCCTAGAGTATGAGGATCACTCATAATGATAAATTTATAAATGGTAAAATTTATATGTTCTTAATAACAGACTCAAAATGTGTAGACTAAAAATTGACAGTACTAAAAGGAGAAACAGACAAATCCACAATCTAAGTGAGATATTTTACCACAGCTCCCTCAGTAACTGGAAGAATAAGCCCACAAACATCCATAAATACATAGGAGGATTGGCCTACATGACCCAATGAATGCACATGGAACACGGCACTAACAACTACAAAATCACCATTCTTTGCAAGCATGCATGGATCATTTTCAAAAATTGACTTTAATATGCCAGGATTGGGCACTTATGCATACATTATCTCCTCTGATCATCATAAAATTGTGAAATAATCATCTAGGCTGAAATCCTCCAGACTCACTCTGTCCCATTCTCTATCATGCTCTATGTCCTGTGAAGTTGACAAATACTGGGTGCATTCGCAGATGCCTTTCTCCTCTAGCTCCTGGTTGAGTCCATCCAGTGGGAGCCAAGACTGTTGGGTAAAAGGAGGGTAGAGTCAGGGAATTTACTGTCCTTGCCCACCCCACCCGCCGTGGGGTGCTGAGAATGGCTGCTCCATCTTCCCTGCCTACGTCTGCTCCTGGCAGTCTGCACTCTTGAGACAGCTGCCCTCTCCAAGCCCAGTACCCATTCCTCCCCTTGCTGCCTCTCAGGTCTAAGGGTGGTAATGGCTGTTCTTAGTGGGTCTTCCTGAGCCCTGTCCGCACCCTTCCAATGGTCCCTTCACTAAATTCTCTTCAAATTACTCAGCTAAGGTGTGCCATCTGTTTCCTGCAAGAATACTGGGCTGAGTATTAGCATCCCCATCTGCCTTTAAGGGAACATAAGCTCAGGGAGCAACTCACACAAGGTTACCAGCTGTATCTCCCTTCTAGGTGTAGAAATAAGGGCAATTTCATCCCTAGCTCCCATAATAAACTATTAAATTTGGACAACAGTATGCCCTGTTAATATGTCAATTATTAAAATAATTTTTGGGTACGCCTGGGTGGCTCAGTGGGTTAAAGCCTCTGCCTTCGGCTCAGGTCATGATCCTGGAGTCCTGGGATCGAGCCCCACATCAGGTTCTCTGCTCAGCAGGGAGCCTGCTTCCCCACCCCCTCTGTCTGCCTCTCTGCCTACTTGTGATCTCTGTCTGTAAAATAAATAAATAAAATCTTTAAAATAATAATAATAATAATAATTTGTGAATGTGAGTTATAACATGGCCTTTTTTAGTTTCTTAAATGTTAGGGACACCATGTCTTCCATTGAAAGTATGTTTGTTCATTAATTTTTGGTGCTTGATGCCTTTTAGAGGAAGTTTTCCAATAGAGTAAAGATAACCTCTGAATTTCAGACTCTATGACATTTTGTCTTCCTACTTTGCTATTTTTCAGATCGACATGAGGTTATCTCCAAAGAAATACTGGAGCTGGACCCATGGGAGAACCAATGGAATGTTGTAGCCATCGATGTCCTCATGCATGACAGTTATGACGTTTGCCTGGTGGCCAGGATGAACCCCCGAGACCTCATCCCCCCACCTTCAGATCTGGTGGAAGAAGGCCATGAACACTGAGGTCAGTATTTACTGTAGGACCTCCTGCTGTGTCTACACGGGAGGCACTAGGAATGGAAAAAGCCCACAGGCACCAGCCAGTCACCCTGAACATGTGTATTATATGCATAGCGGTCCATGTGCAAAGCAGTGTGTGCTGGATATTATGATAGGGACCTCCAGTTGGCTAGAATGGACAAAACATTACAAGGTCAAATGTGGCAACAGCACAGGAAGAACACAGGGTGAGTGCCATAGGAGTCAAGGGATGAAGGGACCTCACACTGCTGGGGACTCAAAGACAGCATCGCCAAGGAGCAGACCTTTTACTGGGGCCTCAGTGGTAAAGAAGCAATCCCATGGGTGCAGCTCATGGGGACATCACAGAAACAGCTGAGCCACAGCCCAGAGCTGGGTCAGATTGCCCGGGCCATGGGCTCTGCTACTAAGGCTGGAAAAGGAGATTATAGACAAGTGACCAACACCTGTAAAAGCAAAGACTGTGGACCTGTTCTCTGAGCAGGGGAATCATCTCACCATCTTGTGATGTTAAACAAGACTCCCCTCTGTGCTCTCTTCCAGTTTCAATCTTACAGAGACTTTCTATTCTCGTGTAGAATACTCTTCTACCGCAGCAACGTTGCCCAAAATGGGGTTAGCAGTGAACCACAAGTTCCTAACAGCTCAGGCACTCAAGCCCAACTACAGTGAGCAGAAAAACTCATCCAGGCCCTGGCAGTGTCCTGGACTAGACTTATCCAGGCTGCCCTGGGGCACACATGACCTTTCGCAGGCTGGCCCTGACCAGGCTCTGGGGTGGAGGAGAGAAGAAGCACATCCCTTTGGCTGCTGGCTGCCTGCCCTCTTACCTAGCCTGTGCAGGGTCTTCCCCAAGACTGCCAATAGGGATGGAGCCGCCTGCTCCAGCCCACAGTTGAGCATAATCAGAAAACAGCCAGTCCCAGAATATAATTTAGGGGTGACATTTAAATGACACATGGGGAATTCATCTCTCTGACTTACCATTCATACTTCTGGAAGTACAGTGGATTCAAAGAGTGCACTTTCGTAGCTGTTCCTTGATAACTTCTCCAGAGTTTCCCATTGCACAGGGCTCTTTTTTAAAACGGGAGTGGTCAGTAAATTCCCTAGAACCTTCTCAGAGGGAGACAATGCTAGTTTGAGACAGCTCTTGTCTGGTGCCAAGTCGTGTGACCATGACGACCATGAGCCCATGGTCCCAGGTTCCAGCTGCTGAAGTAGGCAGAAGAGGCAAGCCCAGTGGGAAACCTGTTTCTGCCACCATGACGGGGGTCCACTAAGACCCCACGCAGGTTGTCCCCAAATAGGCCAGACTCTAGGAGGGCAAGGCATTGCCTGTCACTTTGCAATGGCGCCACTTGGAACCTGCACTGAGCAAAGTGAAGAGAAGCTGATGCTTCTCCCTAGCCAAGGCTCCTAATCTGTGTGTGTGTGGGGGGGGGGGGGGTTCTTGCTACAAAGGCAGAGTAGTTCCTCTGAGTGAGCTGTGCTGGCTATGGCAGCCGTGGTCGCAGAGAGTCCCCCAGCTCTGTTTCCCCGACTTCCTCTTAGCAGAACCGCAGTGCCTGCCGCACCCCTCACCCCTCGAGCACACACTAGAAGCTGCTGCGCTTCCCTGCATCCAGGATGCCCTCGTCAGTGTGTCATGATACAACTTATCCATCCATTGGGTTCAAGATTTAGGCTCTCCTGCCAGCCTTGCTGCTTCGCTAGCTGTGTGATCTCTCCAGCAAGATAACCTCTCCAAAGCCTCATTTTCCCCATATGCAGAAAAGGGAGAAAAATGCTTTAGGGTTGGTATGAAGACTGAGTGAGAAAGTGCTGAGCAAAGTGGCTGTCAGATACTGAAACAACAAACAGCCTTTAGCTGCCATTATTTCTAGAACCGTTATCATTGTCATCCGCATTTCCCAAAGCACAGCGCCCACAGCAACCCAGGGCTTGAGTGGGCTCTGGGGGGAGCGTAGGGGAGCTGTGTACTCGGTATGAGATGGTTCTTCATTTCCCGGACTCAGCCACTCAGCTCCTCCAGGTGGCGGGCAGAGGAATAAGCAAGGTTTCGCTTTTAGTATCTAATGGAAGCCCTGGGTGCTGCTTGTCTGACTTTCATATTCGTAGTTAAACACAAGACACCTCTACCCTCCTGTTGTCCGAGATTGTCAGAGACGCCACTTTGAATTCCTACCACTCCAGTTTTGACCTCAACTGAAGGCCATCTCTTCATGCGGGGATATGTATGTCATGGAGCACTCTTGACGACTTCAACTCTTTGCTAGTTCTGATCTTCGTGAGGCAAGATTTCTGGACACGGAGCACAGAACACAGTAGGGAAATGACCTGGATGCCGGGGCTGGCAAAAGATGGCAGCCACCAGCACGTCCGGATCTGGCTTGCATGCACCAAGAAAGCGCCACTGTTCCCACTGATTGACTTTATAATGAGCAGATGCTTTCAGTTTGAACTTGCAGAATAAAAACGTACTAATGAAAGGTCGCCTTTGTTTTTCTTCATATTACAATTCAATGTCCATTTCTCTCATTTCCTGTGCCCAGGAAGTACTGAGCATCCCGGGGCACTTCCTTTGGGTCAGAGGCATGATCTGAGGCCCAGCACCCCCCACCAATGGCCCCTACTCTGCCCTTGCAATGCTGGGGTTCCCCAGAGCCCATTCTAAGGAGAGCGTGCCAACACTGGGTCTGCAGCCTTGGAGGGGTGGGCCCTGGGAGGGTAGACCAGGAAGAGGGCAGGGGCCAGGAATGTCCCCATGGCACGGATCCGACAGCACCCCGCCCTGGTTGAGCCACTCCCCCCGCCCCAGACCTGGCACTACCAGAGTATCCTGGATAAAGCAGGAGGCCACGGAGGCGTTTCTCAGAGGGGTGCTGCATGAGGCAGATCACAAAACACCAGCAGTCAGAGAACCTGGTCTTTCTCATGGTCTGAGCTGTGATGCGGGGCTCTGCCCTCGATGAGTTCACGTTCTGGAGGAGGGAAGAAAGCAAACACGGGGACTTGACACCTTATGAGGAAGTAGGGTCTACACCCACAACAGGAAAAGTGCAGTGTAGTTCAGGGTATCTCTGCATTTGTTGCTATCGCACTAGAAAAACAACCACAAATTTAGCAGCTCGTTACCATACAGAGATGTGATCTCACACTTCCGTAGTCTAAAAGTCTGAAATGGACGTCAGTCAGCGGAAATCAGGGCGTCCCAGGACTGCACTCCTCCGGGAGGTGAGGCTCTAGGGTCAAATCCACGTCCTTGCCTTTTTCAGTCTCCAGAGGCCACTGGTATGTCTTGGCTTGTATTCCCTTCTTCCTTCATCTAAGCCAAGGATCTCGTCTGTTCTGCCTGCTCGGATTGCCTCCTCTGTCTCCCACTTCTGATCCCTCCCCATTTCTGGTGGTATCCAGGTATCCTGCCCAGGTATCCAGGATCATCTTCCTATCTTAAGGTCAACTGGCCGGCAGTTTAATTCCTCTTGGCCACAAAACGTTCGACAGGCAAGGTTTCCAAGGGTTAGGATGTACACAGTTGAGGGACACCATTATTCTGCCTACCACACTAAACGAACGCCTGACTTAGCCATAGAGTACGTCTGTGCACAACGTGTGTAGGACTTTCCAGGCTCACTGAAGGTTGGGGGCCCCAGGGGTTACAAGGCAAGTGTAAATGCAGATGTGTGACCATGAAAGCTGTGGTCTCAGAGACCTCCATGACATCCTTATGGGGGTTGGGGGGTGGGGACCATGAGAAGGAAAGACCCTCCTTGCCTACAGGATTATTTCCACTCTGCTTTAACATGAAGCCTTTGATACCGGCCATAAGACTCAAAGAAGTACAGTAACAACTAAACACAAGCCATAACCTAACTTAAATGCTTCTCTGGTACAACCAAAGTGATCCAAGGTGCTGGGGGAAGCCCAGGGAAGAGGACCCTTGGTTTTAGAGGGTGCTGTGGGCTCGGAGGGTAGGACACCCTCAGGCTTTGCTGGATAGACAAAGAAGGGTGTTCTAGGCTCAGGAACACCCTAGGCAAAGGTCCCAGCATAGGAAAGGGCCTGGTGTGTTCTGGATACATAGAGAAGCTCTGTGCCAGCAGTATGTAGATTGGTGGCTGGAGAGGCAGACTGGGCCAGGCTGGTAAGGACCCTGGGTGTGGACGCATGGAAGCCAGTGTGGGATTTTATAAAGATCACTTTGATGGTCATACCTCAGGATAGATAGGCATGGGCCACCTGATAGACAGCTGTTGGCAGAGTCCAGACAAGAGGCCAACCAAGGGAACCGTGGGAATGAGGAGACAGACCCCCACATTGTTCAATGATTGACTGCACAATGTAAATGAGTAGAAATTTAATTACAGTGTGCCACTTGGGTCTGAAGTGAATGATTTTTTTAAAGACAATTGACTGTCTCAAAAACTGGGCAGAAGACATGAACAGACATTTCTGCAAAGAAGACATCCAGATGGCCAACAGACACATGAAAAAGTGCTCCACATCACTCGGCATCAGGGAAATACCAATCAAAACCACAATGCGACACCACCTCACACCAATCAGAATGGCTAAAATTAACAACACAGGAAACAAATATTGGTGAGGACGCAGAGAGAGGGGAACCCTTCTGCACTGTTGGTGGGAATGCAAGCTGGTGCAGCCACTCTGGAAAACAGTATGGAGGTTCCTCAAGAAGTTAAAAATAGAGCTGCCCTATGACCCAGCAATTGCACTACTCAGTTTTTATCCAAAGGATACAAAATTACTGATTCTAAGGGGCACATGCACCCCAATGTTTGTAACAGCAATGTCCACAATAGCCAATTTATGGAAAGAGCCCAGCTATCCACTAACAGATGAGTGGATAAAGAAGGTGTGGTACATATATACAGTGGAATATTAGCCATCCAAAAGAATGCAATCTTGTCATTTGCAATAATGTGGATGGAACTAAAGAGTATTAGGCTAAACAAAATAAGTCAGTCAGAGAAAGACAACTATTGTATGATCTCACTCACATGTGGAATTTAAGAAACAAAACAGATGAACACAGGGGAAGGGAAGGAAAATTAAGATGAAATCAGAGAGGGAGACAAACTATAAAAGACTCTCAGCTAGAGGGATCAAACTGAGGGCTGCTGAGGGGGTGGCTAGGGGAATGGGATAACTAGGTAATGGGCACTAAGAAGGGCACTCGATGTAGTGAGCACCGGGTATCATATGGAACTGATGAGTTACTAAACTCTACCTCTGAAACTAAACAAAATGAAAAATAATAAATAAATAATAACACAGTGAAAGACCATTGACTAAAGTAAAACTAATAACAGTCATTGTGGGATTTATGATATACACAGAAGTAAATTATGTAAAAACAACAGAGCAAAGGAAAGGAACTGAGAAATAAAGCATATGCTGTTAGGAGGGCTTTGTGCTGTATCAGAAGAGGTCTAATATTATCTGAAAGTAGAATGCAGTAAGTTGACGGCCCTTATCATAAACCCTAGAGCAACTGCAGCAAAATAAAATTAAAAAGTACAGCTAACAATAGTGAGGATTAAAGGGAATACTAAAACAATTACTAGTGCAAAGGAGGCAGGAAAAGAAGGAAAAGGCACGAAGAACAGAAGACAAATCAAAAACGAAGAGCAAGATGGGAGATGTAATCACAAACATATGGATACCTACACTAGATATAAATAAGCTAGACACTCAAAAATAATTTTTTTAAAGATTTTATTTATTTATTTGACAGAGCGAGAGATCACAAGGAGGCAGAGAGGCCGGCAGAGAGAGAGAAGCAGGCTCCCCGCTGAGCAGAGAGCCTGATGTGGGGCTCGATTCCAGGACCCTGAGATCATGACCCGAGCCAAAGGCAGAGGCTTCAACCCACTGAGCTACCCAGGCGCCCCTCAAAAATAATTTTTACTATAATTCAGAGATTATCAGACTGGATCTAAAAAAAGAAAAAAAAAAGCAAGACTTATCTTGAAATAGAAGACACTGGCAAACTCTAAAAAGACATTAGGAAGATCCTAAATGCTATTTCTGTCTTATTGAGATGTACATAAATCTTCTTTAAAAGTTCAACAAGGGGGCACCTGGCTGGCTCAGTCAGAAGAGCATGTGACTCTTGATCTCAGCGGCTGAGTTCAAGCCCCACACTGGGTGTAGAGATTGCTAGAAAAAATGAGTAAATAAACATTTTAAAAAATAAATAAAAGCTAAATAAGTTTCTTGACAGTTTTGCAACCTAGGACCGGCTTTTTCCTAAGCCAAGTCTCCCTCTCTCAAATGTAAACATCCAGAAGGTTGGTGCCTGTCTCCCCTTCTCCCAGGAGTTTAAAGCCAGGCCCCAAGATGCAACTGCCTGCTTGTCAGGGGATAGGAAGAATTTCACTTTTCCTTTGGATAAGGACAACTAGCTTGTGTATGGTGGTTTGTGCTTGCCGGGCTGTAGGAAATGGTAAGCTTTGCCATCTCTTTAGTAGATCGCCTGAGAGGCACATCGCAGATTGGTTCAATGCTTGTGCAATAACGAAACTGTTTTCTTTCTCTTCTCCCTTTGTGGAGAGGTTTTCTGGGTTTACAAGAGTTTGTCATTATTTTCCTAATAGTATGTCACTATGTGTGTGTTTATACATGTATAGCACTGACTGGTGTGTGTGTGTGTGTGTGTGTGTGTGTGTGTGTGTGTATGGGCAGAGGCGGGGAATGGGGATATGTGGCAAGAATCCTAAGAAACTGGTACAGTGCATCCCTCCAGGACTCTGGAACTGGGAGACTGGGATCAGAGACAGAAGGGAGAAACCATATTTTTTTAATATACTCTGTGTGGCAACTGAACTAAGCACATACTTTGTCTTTCAGAAAGATGCATAATTTCCCATCACTCCGTACTGCCTGCTGGAGGTTTTTCTCTATATGATTAATGGCAATTGACCCAACAGCAGCTCCCTACAGAGCCCTACATGCTCCAGTCATTTAACCTCCGAAGAGCCTGCCAGCCCTGTGAGGTAGTCGCTGCTGTTGTGTGCAGTATTTTAGAGACAGGAAACCTGATGCTTGTCCAAGGTCACAGGGTTGGGGGCACACTGACTCGGGCTTCACACCCAAACCGGCCTCTATGTGCCAACCACATGCCCGGTGTCCCTCCAACTCGGGGTCTCGGTGGGAGCACCCATCCGCTGCTTCCTGGGGACTTAGAGCTGCCAGCCTGGCAGCTCTGGCTCTGTGCTGGGAGCCACCAGACCAGACTCTCCCAGTCCAGGGTTTCAGCTCTCCTGGCTCTCCCGCGACTGGTCCAGCGCAAGTTCTGCCTGCCGTGGTTGTGGGTCAGACAGGAGCCAGCTGCCA